AAGCTTGTTTGTGTGTTCAGCAGAAGCTGTGTCCCTTTTTCTTTATGGGTTTTTGACAATTTTTTTTTGCCTGTTGCTTTCCACTTTTTTACTTCCTTTTTTTTTTTAATTTTCCATTTTTCCACTTAGAGAGAAAAATTATTTATTGCATTGAGATGTGCTAATTAAAGCCATTTTCTGGTATTTGGTTACTGAAGTGTTTGATGTCTCTCTGACAAGACCATGAAATGCACAGAGTGTCCACAGGGACAGAATTTGCTGAACACGGTGCTTTGTAAATGAGGGGACACAGTGTCGCAGCAGCTCATGAATATGAAACGCCCATGATGCTACCTCTGTGGACTTGGGAACACAGATGAATCCTGTCATGTGCTAAATGAGACCAATTTCTTTCACTTAACTTCATCTTCAATCAGACCTTCCATTTGCCTGTTTAAAATTCCCCAAACGTGATGCAGAAGGTAACAGCATTCAGTAAAACAAAGTTTTGCAGCAGCAGAGATATTGTAATTATTTCAGTTTTACATTTTATGAGCAAGCAACATAAACTTAGTTTCATTTTTTATACCTGCTTGGTGGTGGAGACTGTCAGTTTCAGAAGCCACTGCACTCTTTGCGTTCTCTGGATATGGTGGTGTGTGCACAGGGAGGGCAGCACAGTACCCACCACAAAAGTGTCCATTCTGAACTGGCCTTTGAAACACTGACCCAGTTGGGGAAAGTGGATCAGACTGTGTGAGATGGAGTTTTCTTTGTTTTTGGGGCAGGATGGGGGCTCAGCGTACTCTTAAAGCAGCTTAGGGAGTAAGCAGCAACCACCCTCTGACTAATTGCAGGCCTGAACTGGAACATGGTTTCTAGATGCAGCTTTGCCAGTGATTTATTGCCTGACCTGGAAGAGGTTCTGTCTGTCCTTGGAAGAGATTCTATCTGTCGCTATTTATGTGCCATCTTGTATCTAGCAGCCAACTTAGTTCTTTGGGGCAAGGACGGGATCTTACTGAGAGTTTAAAGGATTTTAAGACACCCAGCCTGCAGGTGTTGATACTAAACCAAAAATCAGCCCTGCTTGGGAGGGGAGGTGCAGTTTTCCGACTTTCAGGAGCATCTGGGTATTAGATTGGTAGAGGTTCTCCCATCCCCTTCTTGTTGCTTTCTGTGGTTGTCTTCTTTGCCTGTCAGTAAGTTATTTGCTACGAGATAAAAAAAGGTGATGGTTAGAACATGTACTTTCATATGAACACCTAAAGCCCTCCTTTCTGTATGACTTGAAAAGCTGCTGTTCCTTGCTTATTGCTTGACTGTGCATGTAACATGGATTGCTTTCACTCTTTCCCCTCCATCTTCTCCCATTCACACACTTCTGTCTTATGTCATTGGTGCCTTGCCATAGCTTAGTCACAAAGCTCTTTCTGTGTAAAACCTTGCTAAGTTCAGCTGTTGAAATAAAATAATATTCTTAATTACATGTTGAGACTTAGATGTTCTGAGGCAATCAGTTTTGTGCAGTGACTTAACTCTCCAATTAGCCAACATTTGGTACTGGTATCTCCTGCCCCACTGTAACTTCCATATCAGTACACTCATTTTGATTTCATTCTTTGTTCACTTGTTCATAACCATCTTTTACATTTGTCATCTAGTGTTTGGTGCTCACTCGTCTTGGCACAGGGCATTTTTCACTTCATTGCTCACTACATTGCAGTGACCTGGTATCTGCGAAGGTGTGTCCTTTTTTGCAGTCATTTCTGAGGTTTGCCTACATGGACATGAGAGGCTGACCAGTAAAGTATGTGTCAAGGTTCTGCACCAGAAACACAAATTTATGGAAAATTATCTGAAACTCCCAAACTGAACAGAAGAGGAAAAATGTGGGTCACAGAGCAAAGCACAGAGTGGGGGTTTGTCATGCAGCTGTGTTGTTGGAAAGAGATGCAGTGGGAGGACATGGTCCTGTGAACATGTACTAATGTTCTATGTTTCTGCATGTACTAATGTTATATGTAAAGCCTCCCTGCAGCTAGTGGGAATATTAAAAGTAGAGCATATGCCTACTCTCCTGCAGCAAATAGCCTGTGCTGTGCTATTCCCCCTGCAGCTGACACTGTGCCACAACTTAGCTGTGTTACCAGAGCTTATATGAAAAAAGATGTGGGTCTCAAGAAGAGCAACAAAAATAATTAAGTGGCTGGAGAATGAATGAGGGTAAGGTTGAGTACTTGGTGATAAGTGAGAACTGAGACACTTTGCAAACTGTACAGACAGAATGGAGGGGCGTTGTGCAGAAGTGGCACCATGGGAATTGGCAGAGAGAAGAGTTTATTATGAGTAACAAATGAAATAAAGAAACAAATATTTCAGGAATTATTTGCCTCTGATAGCAGTTAGCCCAGGGACCTGATATTTTCTTAAAATTTGAGACATTTCTGTACTGTTTCCCGTCAGTCTCACAGTCGTAAAGGGCATTGCTTCTGCCTAGAAATGGGCAAGGCATCTGCACTTTGCAGTAAGAACAAGCGTGCACTGGCCTTTGTTGGAGGGGCTGGCAGGGGCCCCCAGAGCTTTTCCAGCTCTTCTGTCAGAAATATTTTCAAAGTGTCTATAAAATATTGGAGCCTTGAATTTCTTTTGGAAAGAATTTCTGAGTGATCGCTTGAATTTTGCTAATACAGACTGGAGGTCGTGCTCTGCAAGGGGTTTAGAAATCTCTCTATGGAATTCAATGGCAATGAGATAAAATCAGCGCTAGAGAACCCAGGAGTCTTTGTAAACCTGCGAAATGGAAGGGACGTCCCTGATCAGGGCCCTAAGTTTACAACTTTTTCTACTGTAAAAAGAGATCAACAAAACAAAAGAGAACTGGGAAGAGTAGACTCCTGAAATAGCTGCCAAAATGAACACTGAGTGAAGAAATTCAGTTTCTTGCAAACACCTTTTACATTTCTGCTGTCAAAAGTGGATAAGGATCTGACCTTCTGCTCTGTGGGTGAAGACAGCTCTGTTCCCAGGCAGTTTTTAATTTACTTGTGAGAAAATTTACTTTAATTTACTTTAGTTTACTTTGCTGAGAAACATTCATAGTCTTGTCATAAAGGGATAAATTAGGAGATGTTAAACGGTTTCTCATTCCCATGCTCATTTTCCTGGACTTAACAGGGCATCTCTGCAGAGAGCTTCGTTCCCTGCCTTGGACCAGTCTGCTCCCTCCTTGGTCCTTGTTGTTTATATACAGGGACCTTCTCCCACATTATCCCGAGCAGAGATACCAGCTGCCTCCACATGTCTGTCTGTCTGTCCCTGGAGATGCTTTTGTCCCATAAGTGCATTTTGCTACAAGTTTTATCAAGAGCTGAGAGCCTCTGCAGGGAAGAGCCAGTGGGACAGCAGCTTCTACCAGGTATTGTCCTCACAAGCAGAGGTAGGGACATCTGCCCCAAATGCACGCTTGAGACATTCCTCGCTCTTGTCTCCTGTCTTAGGGACGGCATAGGGGCTGTTGCTGCAGTTTCCCTTTAAATGTCTTTGGGAAGTTTGCTGCAGTTGGAGAGCCTCTTAGCAGGCACCTGCTCCTTGGGTGGCTGGGGAGCTAGAAGGCACAGCTCTGCTGAGGCCGGCCAAGCTGTCACTCCTCTTGCTGTGGCCACGCTCGTGACAGCCCCTGTCCCGCTCAGCCTTCCACCAAGCAACCAATTAGCAAGAAATCCCACTGTGTGGCCAGCTCCGGATGGCCACGGCGCCAGCGCCCGGCTGACCCGTGCCCTGCTGCAGCTGGGCCAGGGCTGCCTGCTGGCCAGCGAGTGGGGGCACTCGGCGGACGTGCAGCAGGGGAGGGCAGCTGAGAACCCGCGCAGCTCTGACAGGCGGCCGGACTAGGGGCTTCTCGGGAACACCCTGCCCAGAGCCCTCGGCACCATAGGTGGCAATGTCTCTCCAGCTCCTGAATATTCATCTCAGCCTGGGCTGCAAAACGGGGCAAAGCCAGGCTCAGCTGCCTGCTGCCATCCAGCAGTAGTGTTGCTGTGCTGCCGGCAGAGCTGGGAGCAGGCTGCTCATTCCAGTGCTGAAGGGCTTTTCCCTGTGCCAGACCAGCTTCTCCATGGTTTGAGGGCTCAGGGTCTCTGGAGAGTCTTTGTGGCCTTGAGTCTTTAAAGGACCTCTGTATTGGTATGCTCTGTTCTTGCTTTGTGCCTCCGGTTACTTTGCCTTCTCTTTCTCCTTTTTTTGCACTAACTTTTTGCAGTGCTTTGTCAAATGACAGACTGTGCAATGCTTTCAGGGCCTTGCTTCTTTAGCAGTATGCAAAGCACACTCAGTTCTTCCTCCTATCCCTAGTTCTTTTGTTTCTAGCATCCGTTTTAGTTGGATTAGCCATTGTCCTTGTGCTGGAAATGCCCAGTGACCTTCAGCCATTCCAGGATGACACTGGAAATCATGAAAAGGTTTGTGACAATACACCTAGACATGTGTTCCCTAGTGTTTGTATCTGCTAGACCACCAGCACTTCCTTCCTGAGGAAGGTCACAGACCTTTGCACAGCCTAAGATCCCCAACAGCAGATCCTTCAACATGTAGTTTTATGTGGATTCTCTCAGTTTCTGCCTCACATTTCATTTTTAACAGTGTCTTGGTGACTGATGTCTGAATAAATGCTAACACATAGCAAGCAAATTCTTGTCAGTTCATGATGGCAATGTAGGCAGCAAGGTTTAGTACATATGGCTTCTTTCAGATTCAAGGTTGTGTTCAGGTGCATAGTCTATGGCCTATAGAGCCCTGCCTGGATTAATCTATTCCTCTTGCAAGATTTCCTGTGACCTCCGACATCAAAATTTTATTGCCTTGTTTTAATATTAAACAATGTATTTTTAATTATTGCTAAACAAGCCCCGTTATGTTTCCCTCTAATAAGAAACATGTCTGTGAAGCAAGGGAACCTTTGTCTTTAGTGAGAGGAGAGCACAACACTCTCCACCTACTGCTGCTGCTTTCTCTTGTTGCAGACATTCCTGTGATCCCTGACTTGGAGGATGTCCAGGAGGAAGATCTTGCCATGCAAGTGGCAGCTCCCCCCAGGTAAACGCACTGCCAGGTGCTCTTGAGGCTCTCATCAGCAGGGCAAACTGGCTAGTGAAATTAAACCCATCTTACTCATGCTCTTTGGATGTCAGCAGCAGTGCTGTTCAGCAGGATTTGGTGTGGTGTTTTGTGACAGTAGGGCTCCAAGCTGAACAGTGCAAAATTCTTGTTTCCTATTACATGGAGAAAGCAATTACTGCATATTCTCTCTCTCTCTGTCTAAAAAACCTACATTGGAATGGCGTATTTGATGTTGCAAAATTGAACTCTGAAAAGTAGGAAATTTCTTGATTTAAAGTTGCCTGCATAGCCCCAAATGTCTCCAATGCACATGCATTGTCACACACACTTTAATTTTGCTGGTTGTAGGCTGCTTTGCCCTCCACAGGATATCCTTCTTACTCAAGCACGTAGTTAATTTGTGAAGTACAATCCGGCTGTTTGAAGGTGCTATCACGGTAGCCTTGGAGTCAGCTCAAGGGAGACCAGAAAGTTTTAAGACATTGTTTTTGGAGAGTTTTCTTTCCTCTATTGGGCCTGTTGTCAAGGTCACAGACTGGGATTTCTGCTGATCCTTTTTTGGAGGGGGGGGATATCTTACGCCTGGCCACAGATTTCTTTCTCACAAGTGTGGAGTAATTATTGTAATTATATAGCTGTTATAAAAAATAATTGATAGTTTATAGTAGTAAATTTTAAATTACTGTCCCTCTCACTGGAATTTCTTTCTTTCTCTCTCTCTCTCTCTCTCTCTTTTTTTTTAATAAAGCGTTCTGATCCTCCTGTATTCGTAGTTTTCTTGTAGTAGAAAAGTCAAGTTTTCCTGGACAAACACAAGCAAATTCAATTAATAGAAGTCTTTTCTATAGCGTTGGATCACCTGTGAGGGCAGATGTGGTACAACACACCCCCTTACACCATGTTTTTCTTGGAAGGCTACATTTTAGGAAGTCATACTTAATAGCTTTGATGCAGCTCAAATATGAAAAGCCAAAAATCCCTACGATTCTGTAGCTTGTATAGTGTTGCTCTCAGAGGCTCCTTTGCTAAGGCACTGGGGCTGTTTGAATGGCCACAATGGTCTTCTTTTCTTTCTAGCCCTTGAAACTAGTCTATGGATCTTCTTTTGACATGCTGGTTTCTCTGAGGGAGTCTATGGTTGTTCCACATCCTCTTTTTTTATGCATGTGCACAACCTGGTACATAGATTTGTCAATAACTGTTCATTTGCTGACTGAGCTGTGCTTCTGTCTGGGCACATCCATCCCGGGAGTCTGCATGGAGGATATGGAAGCTCAAGATGTCACCAGACTACTGTTCATGCCACCCTTCTCCTCACATGTGCTTCCACATTGACACAGGCTTGTTCTCTGACTCTTTCTGGCTGCAGTGTGCAGGTGAATCGAGTGCTGACCTACCATGACCTGGACAAAGATCTAATGAAATATGCTGCCTTCCAGACTCTGGTAAGTGGATGTTGTTATGGGCTGGTCAATGTGAATCCCTCTCCTTCCAGGCTCATGTCATCTTCCACAGTGATACTCAGCTGCACGAAATATGCAGCCTTATCATCCAAAGAACTTGTAGTCTCCCTGTAAGTCTGTTCCTCTCTGCAGTATGGCTTTTGCACTTGTTTTTGTCTGTAAATAATGTGGATAGTGGTATCTGTTGCTCAGATGAGGTTCGTGCTGCTGTCCTGGACAAAGTGACCCTTATGAGGCAAATGTGGCGATGTCTAACAAATGTATCTGGTGAAATGATGGTGTTCATTTTCTCAGTGTCTGTAAGACTGACTCTATATGTTCATAGGATGGGGAGGTAGACCTGAAGCTCCTCACCAAAGTTTTGGCTCCAGAGCATGAGCTACGAGAGGTAAGTCTTTGTTTTGTGCAAACACCAACAAGGTAAATGCTTCCTGTGTGTCTTGGACTGTACTAGGAAAGGAAGCCTTGTCAATGGGGTGAGAAGAGATGTGAGGAGGAACTTGTCCAAGCTGTTGGAGGTTTGATTTCCCCATCAGGTAATTTTTAAGATAGATAGTGCTTTCTTGGTGTGAGTTTATGGCATCACTGTGATTGGGCCCCTTCAGTATGATGGAGCTGGTCAGGAAAATGTGAAAGGCCTAGTACTGTCAGAGATCCCTGCAGAAACAGTGTTTTGCCCTTTGGTAGTACAGGCGATTCTACAGAAAAGTACAGAGGAACAAAGGCAGAAAGCATTTTGGGTATGGGCATTTTTGGCATTTTTAAAGCAGAACAGAACAATCTCAATGCAACTGGGCGGGCAGGAGCTCAGGACTTGCAGCAGAAGATTTCTGCAGCTTTGAACTGCACATGCTTCAGCAGAAGTGCAGAAGAGTGGAAGGACTCCTTTCTACACCCTGCCTGGGAGTATCTAATATTAACAAGTATCAACAAATATATCCTTTTTGGAGTTTTAGAATACGAATAATTTTGTCCACATTTTAACATTGTAGCATATATTCGCATTTCATTCTGGCTAGTATTCCTGCTCTATCCATCTGTATCTGAGACTTCCCTGGTCAGGGCAGTTGCTTTTCTCTCTTTGCTGTTTTTGTTTTCTCTCTTTGCTGTTCTGGCATTGTTCAGAGAACTTTGGATGACACCAGTAACATTTCAGCATATTTGTCTTTTTTCCTCTTGGTAGGATGATGTCAGCTGGGATTGGGACCATCTCTTCACAGAGGTGTCATCAGAACTAGTGACTGAGTGGGACCTGGGACAGTCAGAGAGAGAGGACCACATCAGTCTCCCATAGAGCTCTGACACACCAGATGTCTCATACATCCATCTCGTGTACATAGTTAAGCACTTTAATTTTCTATTCACTTGTTTGTATTTGAGAATTTATTTCAGACATGAAAATAAATTGGACCTTGCTTCATAGAAAAATTGTCTTGGGAGAAGTTTTGGTTATTTTCTAATACGAATTTTCATTCTCGAAAGAAATTAATAATTCTAGACACAATAAAATATTTACTTATAAAGAGTCATTGCACCTCAGTAGCACCTCTACAGATAACTGCAATGGTCAGTCTTTTCTCTATGGAAACGCAGCCTCTCTGGAGCAGACCATTGTACAATGGAGAGTGGTTTGCACTGATGGCTATCAGAGAAGCTTAGGCTGTTATGACTTGTTTTCATAGGACATCCAGGTTACCATCTTCCTCACAACAGATACCTCAAGTTGTCAGGATACCTGATTTACATTTCATCCACCAACCTCCAGCCTTTCCTTGTTAGTTTTACCTCTCTCTTGGAACATTACCTCTGTATTGACTCAGGAAGCAGCATCACCTATTAAACTGCCACTTCTTACAGCCCTTCTTTATACCTTGAGGTTTCCCAGCTAAATTCTGACCAGGCATAACCTCACTTAGCTTTTGCAATCACATGAAACCACAGCCTGAATGAAAATTGCTTCAGGCATAGGTACTTTGCAAGGAAAATGTTCATTCCATGTGTGTGAAAACCTGATGCTCTCAAACAAGGTAACTCCCTGGTGGATGCCTCCTTGGAACCACTCTTATTGTCATCTAACTCACTCTTATTGTCATCTAAAAAAAGCTCATTTAGCTTAATACCTTGTCCCTGTAGAACCGTGGCCATTATTTGCAGGAAACAGGAACATTACTTCTAAACCAGTGTCCTTCAAAGCCTTGCCCTGTTGGAGAATCTTGCTGTATACATCTGGGAAGAGCAGGTGCTGGGAGGAAGCTTGATGTGCTGCTTTTCTTTGCTTGTTTGGTTGGTCTAACAGAGCAATGCATTCAGACTTTTGTGACAGCAGGACAGGCCAAATAGCTCACTGATAATTCAGTACGCTGCGGAATTTCAGGTAAGAGCTGACATGCCAAACAACTTACTCAACAAAAGAAAAGGAGTTGGGCCCCAGTCTGGGGCCACAAAAATAATGGGAGGCTTATCTGTCTTAAGGAAATACAAAGTTTTTACAACCAAGACATCTCTCCTATAACTAGAAAACTAAGTGTGGGATAAGCTTGGGAGGCCATTGTATGGAGGAAAATCCAAAAGTCTTTCTCTGAGCAGAGAAACCTGTTTTGGTAGGAGCAAAAACTTCCCAGCTGAGCTAGCATCTACTTTTCTGTGACACAATTTCCAGCCAAATAGAACTTAGAATGCTTTGTACATCCCAGGAAAAAAATTAAATTCAGCAAACGAAAATAGGTTAGTAAATCAGACAACAAGCCAGTCTGAGAGGGAAAAAATGTGTACTTTTTGGCTACCTGCCTCAGCTGGGGATCCTGGGCAGGGATATTCTGGGGTGGGAAGCAGGTGTGTGTGGGCCAGGCCTGTGTGCAGTCTGGGACCTTGGTAACCCAGCAAACACCTGGGCAGAGCTGGAGAGAAGGGCTTGAAAAAAATGCCAGCCTCATCTATTTTATGGCAGGAAGAGATATCTTTGATCACTTAGTCTGACCTGCTATAATATAGGCCATGGCAGAGTCCATTGAGATGGGGTTGAGCTTTGCCTGTCTTTGGAAAGGCAGACAAGGTATTTAAAACTCTTTCCAGGTTACTTTCTAATAGATGGTTGCCCTTATCGTTTAAATCTGCTTTATTTCTCGACTCAGTTTTTGCGTTTCATCTTTTGTTTCTTGAGCCTGCTTGCTTTCACCTTTCCACAGCCATGCTGTCAGATATTTTCTCCTTGCTTCAGTATTTATGTGCACTGGGATCAAGTTGTCTCTTTAATTTCCTTCAATAAACTTAATAGACTGAGACTTGTTTCCATATCTCTTCAATTCCTTGCACAGCTGGAGGAGGGGAAGTGCGTGTCAGGCTCCTGGCCCTTCTCTACTAAGCTGTTCCCACCCACCTTCCTTCCAAAATTCTGTTTTGGTTGCAGTGTTGGGAAGATGAATAAGACCTATTGCGTCTTCTTTCTCAAGTCCTGGTGCTGTCACATGTTACTGTCCTTACTAAAGAGGAACAATGAGCTGCTCTTTCATGTCCTGGCTCGTGGTGATGCATCAGTGTGTATTGGCTGTGACAAAGCTGCCTCAGGAACCCACATTAATGACAAGTCCTGTGGAAAGAGCATGCAGGAGAGGAAATGGCAGGTGTTTTTTTCTTGTAGACTGCAAAGCATTCTCTCTAGTTGAGCCTCAGGTGAGATAAGAAGAGGGAGCTGTTTTCAAAACACTCTTTTCAAAACAGTGCCCCCAGTTCCTGGGAACTTGGATCAGCCCTCTGGGCTGTCCCTGGCCAAGGCATGGAGCAGCATTCCCCTGCTAGTCTCCACAGACCCTGTATTGCAGAGGGGTAATTCAAGGTACAGTGGTGTGCTTAGGGCCACACAATGAATCTTCGGCAGAATCGGAGTTAGAAATTAATAACCTCAAGTTCCCAATTCAAACATGGCTTTCATATACCTGGCAAGTGTTTTTCATCTTCAATTCAAACATGGCAATTCAACGTAGAGCAGTCTTGCTTAGTCTTTGTTCTGCTCTGTACTGAGGAAGAGCTGCAAACCTGTCAAAGTGTGTGTGTCAACAGCATGTTAAGCTCAGTGAGCTGGCATGAGGTGTCTGCCCAGGGAATTGCTGGGATTCTGGATGGGTGTAAATAACTACCTGCAGATAGCTTCTGGCAGACTCGGAGCTCAGTAGAGCAACACTGAGCAAATGGTGAGCCTCATCACAGATAAAGTGAAAGAAGTGCATAAAGGAAAAATTAAATCTAGGTCCTATCAGTTTTAAAAATCTCTGGTTTTGCTTTTAATAATACATATTATATTTATAGGCTTTCTTGGTGGAGATGCCTTACTAGAATGCAGTTTGTCAATGATGGGGGAATATTGAGGCTGAGACAGCCTAGGAAACACTGGAAAAAAAAAAGAGGAAATAAAAGCTGAAAAAAAGCCAGATGCAGCAACTTCCCATTAAAGGACCTCTTAGAGGGACTCTGGCTGGCTGTTTTATTAAGTGTGATAAAGTGAGTGGAGGTGGGGGGGAGCTCCTATGTTAATAAGTTGGAAAAGCACTGCCGTTCCTCTCTCCAAAGCATTTCAGGGAAAGTGGAATTAATTCATGGCATATGCTCCCAGCATCTGCTGCTGTGACCCGGAGTGGCGGGAGCCGAGTGCCAGGCAGTGCGAGCCAGAGCCCGTATTCCCAGCTCCTCTCCCGGGCCTTGTTCAGTGCTGCTGCCTGTGGCTGGGCATGGGGGCTGCTCCCGTGGAGCACACCCAGCTGCCAGGCTGCCTGCTGGCCTGTCACAGCCCAGGCCACAGTATTTCTGCCTCTGAAGGAGGAGAGATGCTCTAGGCTTGGGGAGGGAGAAGGGGATTTTTGGATATAGAAGAGACCAGTTTGAATGAAAGCTAATTCAATTTGTCCCAAACAGCCTAAATTCCTCCTGCAGCATTCTCTGACTAAGACCTCCCTTCTCCAGTCATCTGACTTGTTCTGTCTTGCTGCGAGGTTCTGAGTCCTCAGTTTTCCTCTTCCTTCTTTTCCACCGTATCTTTATAGATGATTTGATCCTCTCCTGAGAGAGAGGACAGACCTATTTGGTGTTTGATGGGATTTCATTCTCTGTTTAATGGCTTCTGGGAAATAACTTTTCACACCTTATTTCCCCTTGACTGACCCAGACCACTAGTACAGAGTGCTGTGGTAATCTTTGCTTGTGCTTCATGATCTGCCCGTGAGCTTTCCCTCAAGAAAGGGCACCCAGAGCCAGCCCTCCAGGCTGCTCTTTCTGCAGCCACATCCTTCCACCTTTTTGGACAACTTTCATAGCCTGGAGAGCAGACAGAGTCAGGAGAAACTGGAGTAGTGGGTGATGCTAAGGCAGGGCAGAGATGCCCCATGCTGCCTCTGTGCTCTCCCAGCAGCGGGTCCTTGCAGCTTCTCCACTTGTGCTCTGTTTTGAAATGTGGTGCCCCAGTCCTGGGCTGTGCAGGGATGGTGCTGTGCTGAGTGAGGGCGAAGGCAGGGCAACATGGGAGATCCCCAATTGGCTGCTTTGGTGAGGCCAGTCCTCTCAGGGCTGTGCTTTATACTGGGGGATGACCTGCACTTCTGGTAGTCACAGCCTAGGAAGGACCCTGATAGATTAGGTCATGAATGCTGTGTGGCATGGACGTCCAGAGTTCCTGAGCCCACTAATCTCTCTGCTATGATCCCTGGGGAGATGAAACATTTCCTCCTAGTGCCCTATTACTTGTGTCTGCCCCAGCAAGCTGCTCTGCACAGACCTCACTGGGGCTAGAACAGTTCCATGCCATGGGCCCTCTTATCAGGCTCCATCTCCTGTCACTTTCAGGACCACTTCATTATCCTTTTATTAGCCCTCTTCTCCTGCTTATCGTTATTAATAATCACACTGGATCAGCTGGAGTGCTGACAGCTGCCCCTTGTCTATTCTTTCTGTCTATTTTAATCCTGCCTGCTTATCTGAAATAAACCTGATCCTTTTTCTTTTAATTAAAGAAATTTGGTGAGCCAGCCCCTCCTCCATGCAGAGATAGGACTGATCACACCAGTGATACGGAGGGAGCAGAAGAAGGGGCAGATTACTGGATGACAGTGTTTTCCACAGCCCAAAGATATAGGATGTCAGAGTAGAGGCTAGAAGAGATTGAGGCACGTGTTGTGAGAATAAACACAGCACTGGGTCACTGTGAGGTACTTATTTTGAGGTTTCTGTGTTTGGTCCAATGTATTGATGCAGGGCTGTGTGACTACACTGCACCAGTGCAACACAAACAAGGGAGGTTTATTCACCTCTCTCTGTTTAGCATGGCTCAGAGCAAGTGTGAGTGACCTGTATGAGTGGCCAGGGCTTCTGGGGTCACTGTAGTTCCTACAGGGGCTAGAGGAGTTTGTTTCTCAGTGCTTTATAGTGCTGCAAGAAGATGCAAG